TGTTTCAGTGCACTTTGTTGGTGTTTTTAGCAAAAAAAATTAAAGCTTCTTCTTATTCACTTGACCAGATTCAAGAGATGATTCATTAGAGGTGAATAATTTCTAAAGTTATTATGAAAAACCTAACCATTCCAGCCTTTCTTTCACTTTTGCATTGGGCTATTTAGGCCAAAGATTTGTTACTTGTTATATATCTAGAAAGTAAATACTGGGTTTTATTTTATGACAACAGTTCTGAGTTCACTGACCTGCCATAAAAAATGTGTCATGTGCATCACGAGCTGGATGCTGCTGAGGTTGAAACAAAGAGTCAAAATTCCAGAATGAGCTTTCTACAAAGTTGTTGGTAGGCATCTCTGAAAACCTGATGAAAACAAAAATTCCTCTGCATTGAATAACTCCCGTGCTGCAAATCAGATCTAATTTTCAGTGATTCTGATATCATTTAGTGATAAATTAACAATACTCACTTACCCCATTTCCAAAAAGATTTGTCTGAACTGTGCTCTAACTTTCATCAAAGGATGAAGATGTCCTGATGTTGGTATAATTCCTTGTGCATCAAAATTGTACGGCTTGAACTGTTTTGTTTTCCAGGAACCACTGAAGAATAAACAGAGTATTCCAACAGCAGGGTATCATCACAAAAGACTTCGTACTGAACGACAAAATATAACAATTCTAATCATACTTGAAAATAATTATCCAGGGATACATTTTATAACGCACCTTGCCAACATGTCTGCAGTTAAATCAGCTTCTAGTTTTGTGGGTGATGTGCTGAATTCACTGCCTTTTGTCACATGAAAACTCTTGATGATTCTAACAAATTGAGATGAAATGATTCACTCAATATCAGTTGAAAATAACATAGTCATTCAGAACTCTAAAACAATTAAAAAATGGTAAAGATTAATGTAGAAGTTGTACCATAAGTTAGTGGTTATTATTAAATTCTATGTTTTGAGTTGAGATTGTGTCTGAGTGTTGGTTTCTTAGGCAAGGCTCTACACCTACGACACTCCTCTCTATCTCCTGCCCTTCACCACCCATAGGACTGCAGAAAAGGAAGTCTAGCATTACCATGAGAAAGATTTAGCCCCTTTAACTCTAGTTTACGTTTGGTAACTCAAGGGATCGGAGGATGTTTATTGGAGAGGGGGCATTTATACATCTGATTGAGTACACTGAATGCAGAACAATACTTTTAATTAATGAAAACAACAGATGATTTTATGCTAAACAACAGATGGTTTTAATATTTCAAGAACTGTAACAGTGGGCCTCTGATAGTCATAATGTTCAATATTTCGTTTATATGAGAAAGCAGAATTCATAATTCATTCATCTGATCAGTCTACTCTCTATCAATTTCTTGAATTATATACTATATTATATACTATAGAGGTGGTTAATGGAATGGTGTGCCTATTGGAATAAGAGAGTGCTTTATTTATTAGAAAGGGTGCGCTTATTGGAAGCTAGGAGGGTGCTAAATAATAATACAGGCTGAATTTTGGTACAACATACATCACCTATATCTTGCCTACACCCCTCAGTCTTACTTCGCTGTATGCACTCACTGTGTTTTAATCAGCTTCCTTTTCTTTAATTCTTTCATCTTTGCATCAGAGATATCTGACAGCTTATGATCCCTGATCTTCATCAGAGCAAGTTGTACATCATCTTCTACATTCTCTTCCTGAGAAAAAAAGGACATATTTTTAATTTGTTTTGTTTTATTTGGAAACTTGCAACCCTGTCAATTGTTAAAATTGCTAAAATCACAATGTTTATGTGACAGTTGAACCCATGTGTAAGATTAGAATGAGTTCAGCTTCTAATCAAAGCCACTAAGTCCTGAAGGAACAAGTACATAAAAAAATGTTTGAAAAAGAGTTGGCATCCACAGTACAGCCAGATGGCAATTTGTCTAAAAGCCTGTCTATCCCCTTGATAATACTGAAGACTCTCTCCCTATAAAGTGGAATCACAATTTCTCAAACCCTTGTTATTTTGAACCTCCTGATAACTCAAACCAAACGTCGTTTCCCTCACCTCAACCAAACACTGTAATTTTACCCCCGATTTCTTGAACTATCCCATTCTTCAAACCAATTTTTGTTTCCCTTGGAAGTTCAAAAAATCAGGATTCCACTGTATAGATTATTTTTCTTGGAAAATATGTTGGCCTCACCTTCCTCATTACTCTAGGTCCTCCCTCTGCAGTTTTGTTCACTTGAAGCCAGCCTGCTGACATGGCTTTACTAAAACCCACATTAGCGTGTGGACCAAGTTTCTGTTGACATGAAAACATCAAATACATTTTTAATTACAGACTTCTTAGCTGTGTTAGATGATGTGCTAAAAGTGTGTTGACCAATACATTTTTCATGTCTTAAGGTAACTGTCAACCCACCCAGCCCAAGGAATCATGACCAATCATAACCTGATATAGTTTCAGCTAGATGATGCATTTGATGGGCTTCACAGATATACTTGCCAACTCTCTCACCACACTAAATTGAGTTAAAAACCGAAAATGATTTTACATCTTTGTGCTGCCCCCTCCTGTGTTTGGTGGGGAAGGGGAACAATCTGGATTCAGTTAAAGGTGATGGTAACAGATTTACAGTATACTGACTGGAGCTAAGACATTAGTAGACAACAACAGTTTATTTTTTTCTACTACTGTAAACAACTAAAAGAATTTACAAGATTATAATTATAAATATATAAATAAACAGTACAGTACATACAGTAGTGGGACACCCAAAATAACTAAAAAGCAAAACTAGTTGGGTGACCATAATTATAATAATTAAAAATGTAAGAGTCAGGAAAGAGGCACAACAAATACATTGCAATATTGCAATATTACAATATAACATTGCAATATTGGTGACGATGAACAGAAAATGCTATCTAATTTAGAAGGTTAACATTAACACTGGTATCCTGAGGGTACCCCTGTGGGATGGGTTCTGCCCAACCCCAACTATGTTATTTTACACAGGAAACCCAAATATTGAAAGCAAACATAATGTTAAGAAATAAAAAAGCGCAATGAACAAAACATAGCAACCGATTTCCTTGTGCGTACCTTGATTTCCGATTGAAGTAATCCTTCTGCTGGAACAGCTTTGAAAACAAGAAACTCGTGGCTTCCTTTCTCAACAATTTCACTTCCTTCCTCGGTCAGCACCCAGCCTTCTGTTTGGCGTTGCTCGACATTTATTACCTCATAAAACAAAATTTAAAGTTCTATGAATAACATTTCACTCATCCTAATTCACAAAACAAAGATGAAATTTTTCGATATGAAAGAACTACATAAAAATGCAATTCTCTTCACTCAAAAATTTAAAGCTTACATCTCCGAGAGCATGAATGCTCTTTACACTTCCAACAATGGACTGATGGTCTTTTCCACATTCATTGGCAAATTCAAATGTCTCTATGCTTCCTCTCTCCTCTACAGCTTCCAGTACAAGTCTATCTAGAGACTGAGTCCCCATGATGTTAAATTAAAGTGAAAGTTTCTAAAGCGAAACTAGAAAAATTTCATCAGAAATAAGTACCCATCCTATATGAAGTACTACAGGAAGAAATGTAGAACCGCTACATTGTTATATTACCAAGGAAATTAGAGCCCGCCGGGAATTACACTCTAGCAGTTTTCCACGAGAAAATGATAGTACTTCATGTGACTTATCGTGTATTGTCCCATATTAAAATAAGGAGTGCGTGTCAGGAAAAAATGGCTTTGCTGTTGTTGTTCGATTTCATAAATTTTCGCTTTCACGCGCAAGGAACAATAGTCGAAGGTGTTGGTGATGAGGTGCTAATTGGTCTAGCGTCCACTTTGGGACTCATAGCATTAGTCAGTGTTCTATACAACACTCAGGGAGGCCAAAGAAACATTCACCCTTTGCAAGAAGAACACGTCCGTCTTGTGCGTGACAGACTTGGTGTTGTACAAGAAGGAAGTGATACAGCCGCGAATGAAAGCCCTACACTGCCTGATCCACCACCTGTTACATATTCTACTGATAGACGATGCCCCGTTTGTCTTGCGGACACGAAATTCTGCACGACAACCAACTGTGGACATGTATTCTGTGGTATGTCCTTGCTTGATCATGTCGTTATAACTAGGCTTATTCAGTTATTGATCTGTGATCACGATCAGTAATAACCTCATTTTCTTCTTACAGTTTGGTCACCCATAACAGTTTCGAACACAGTTCGAACGTTTCGGTTTTGCTTGGGGGGTATTTTCTGTGTGTGTGTGTCTGTGTTGTTTTTTTTTTTGTATTTGTGCCAAGCAGATAAGCTTTAGTCTCTAGTCAGGTTTCCATGCGTCAGTCTGTTGTTAAAAGAATTTCGTCGTTCCATTGTCGGGGTGCATATAGCTTTAAATCAAAGAGGCTAAACTCTAACAAGGCTAAACTTTCAAACTCTGCGCACAATGGCTTCATCTACCTGTATATCATCTATACTGCTATTGATGATGAAAATTAGCCACTCAGTGTGTGTGAGAAATTTGACAGTTGTTGTGAAAATTTCATTGCTTGTGTTTCCTGTTTTTCAGCTCCATGTATAATAACATATTGGAGGTATGGCAGATGGCTTGGTGCTGTTAACTGTCCTGTATGTAGACAACAGGTAAGGATACAATTTTTTCAATATAGTAAAATTGTCTATAATCTGGAGCAACTTATTTATAAATCCGATCCAATAATGTCATTGTCATCAACCTCCTCTTTCTCGTGATCCTGAAATCAACTGCTGGGCAGATATAGAATTTTAGAGAAGGGGGTTTGAGATGCAGGCCACCAATGGTGTTCCCCTGTTGGGAGGTTGGGGAGGCATCCCCCAGAAAATTTTTAAAATTGAGGTCCCCAGAAATGAGTTTTCCAGCATTCTGAGGATAAGTAAGCGTGTTATAATGTCTCATTTTTTTATTTAGGGGGCTTGGCCAAACCAACCAAACCTCCCTTGATCCGCCCCAGAATTGTAGAGTTACTTCCCCAAAAAAGAATGTAACACTTAGTAGTTGAAGCAGTGACCATCCTCTCCATTTTAGTACTTTCAAACCTTTGTGATAGGTTTCTTTTCCCAATTCAAGTCAAAATGCAAATGACCAAGCCTGTTTACATTTTTAGGGGCTCTTCATATGAGCCCAGCAACTGGGCTGTCTCGGTTGTAGTGACTAATTTTGTTGTCTGTTCATATGGGAAATTCCAGTTCAGTCAACCAGGATGAAATTCAAGAAACAAAATTAACAAAATGGTCATTGGGAGTAGACCCATCCTCGTCTGGTTGTAACACATAGACAAAAAAGAGACAGCTTTTTATATTACAACTCTCCAAAAAACAAAGCAAAACATGAGCAAACGAAAACAAGCAAGGATTGCTGTTGTTCCTGCACATGGTTATTGCATCTCGTAGTTGTTGCTGGCACATTTCTTTGTGCTGCACTGCAAGTTTCCACTTCTGTGGTTCTGCTGCAATGAATAGATCAGATGGGAGGGATGAAAACGTTGGCAAATCCCTAACAACCTCTCAGGTCCCCTTGGGAAGCTGGTCAGTAGCCTGACCACCAATGGGCAGCCACGAACATTTAGCAGGGAGACAGAGACAAAGGTACTTTAAAGTATATGTCTTCAAAACATTTTACCAGCCTAGTAAAACATGAAGAGGTAATAGTTGTGTAGGTTATATAGCTTTTAAGGGGTATTTATCTTTTTTATTATACATTGAACTCACTCTTTTCTGATTGGCCGGGAAGTGTACAGTGAATTTTTGAAAACTGCGTCTGTTACATCATGAAGCTGCAGATTATACAATAATCGTGTCAAGGACACTCAAGGTCACGGGTAATCATGTCATGGTGGTGCATGTTTTCTAAGGGTAATCATGTCAAGTTCGGGCGGTGTGTGTAGCTTGATTTTTTTTCCATTCAATGTATTAAAAAAACAATTATTACTTTCAGTTTTTGTGACATCCAGAATAATTAAGGTCTCGGTAAGGGTTATCAGCCTCAGCCTTCGGCTTCGGCTGATAACCCCTACCTCGACCTTGATTATTCCGGATATCATAAAAACCTCATCCAATAATTGTTTAAAACTTGTACCTTAGCACCTTAATGGATCAAGAAACACTGTCCGGTTAACTTAAATCTTTTTGGGATTTATTTTAATTAGCAAATCAAGTCAGTTTTCTTATCAGTGTCATTAAGGTGGCTTACTACATTTTTGATGGATTATAACAGCCCAACTTCTGACTCTTTGAAAAATGTTTCAAGATGTTTTTCCTTTGTCTATTTACTGTTTGGCTAAGTCTTTTACCATTCTATGTGAAACTTGAACAATTAAACATCAACAACTGGCCAAAATGAACGACTGAGTACCTAACGAGAGACTGGGCACTAGCAGATTAAATCATATTTTTCTCAAAACCTACCTGTATGACCCCACCTCAAAATTTCAGGAATAAGCAATTGGCTCTGATTGAACATTCATGCAGAGTGAAATAAAAATCTGTAGGACAGATTTTTTGCAAACTAAGGAAATGTGAAATCAAAAATAGCTCAAAATCGGTCTTGCAGATTTTTTTAAAATTTTTTGGCCCTAAACATGATTCACCCCTACAAATCAAAATTCTGTGAAAATTTCATCATGGGTTGTATGGTAGGTTTTCGAGCAATCCTCAATCAAAGGTTGGCTTTTACAACCTTGGATGAGAATTGAATTGCGCATGGCCTTTATTATAGCGCACACTCGTGTGACACCATGTATCATGTTTGAGAAAGCAAGAGTAAATTAGAGCTCTTTTACCTGTTGTTTAGTCAGTTTATTTGTCATAATTTTTTGGCCCTAGGCTTAAACACATGTTTGAACAAAGTTTGAAACTATTGCTACGTATACTGAAGTGATATAACACCTTCAAGTGCTGAAGTGGTTTTCGTTTCTTGTTAGAGTTACTCGCATCAGTTTTGCATGCGCAATTAATACTGACGTCTGGCAGGCAATCATAGCGCATGCTACTGAGTCTCCCAAAAACTGTAGTAAGCCACCTTAATATGGATGGAATGAAGTAAAATGTAGAGTTGTAACAGCCTTTTTGTCTTATCTTAGGTCACAATCCTATTTTCCAATTTTTCTGAGGAGGATAGGGCATTACCAGATGCTATTCAATATAGACGTGAAATAAATGAATACAATAAAAGATATTCAGGAGTACCAAGACCAGTAAGTAACTGTTTTTAAGTTTTAAACAGTCAATACTGTAAGAAGTATGTAGTTACTGTAAGAGATGTTGGGCTGTAGGTTTATTTGAATGAATTTATGTAGAAGTAGATGGCTAGTAGACTACCAGATATGTTCTTAGAAAAGAAGGTTCGCGTTGCTCTGACCTCAATATGCATCTTTATGGTGGAGCTGTCGCACAAAATGGCGGCCATACTCCAGCTAATAGGTTGGCCGAGACATGCAGCCTTGGTTTACAACGTACATTAATTGACACCTGTCAAAACAAGGTATCTGCTGACCAGTATCACATGGCCATATTGTGGGCTCAAGTTTAGAGCTCAGTGAGGTCATGGGGTTTTTTTGAAGTTGATGACTGCCCAGGTACTGGTTTTCAATTGGATCGCAGGCTCAAACCAGGTTAACTTACTGTAATCAGGAGCTCTGCTTTTAGACTTGGCTAAATCTATGAATAATTTATTTTTCTTGCAGGTCATGGATTATATTTATGACCTACCAACTCTTCTGCAACAACTCTTTAGCGAGCTGTTCTCTGTCGGAGGACTGGTGTGGGTTCTAAGACTCAGAATCATCTTGTGTTTCTTTGCGGCAGCCTTGTACTTCATTTCTCCTTTGGACATTATCCCAGAGTCTGTGTTTGGATTTCTGGGCTTGTTGGATGATGTACTTATTATCTTGCTATTGCTGGTGTACATAACAGAAATGTACAGGAGAGTGATTGCCAACAGAGCTGATGAGACCATGTGAAGGACAAAGATTTAAGTGTATATGAAAAACTTCCATGTACAGATAATAACTATAACTAGATTATTAAGTTGTTTTTAAAATGATTTGTGTACATATGATAAAAAAGCGATGTTTCGTTGTTTTATTGCCATTTACAGTAAAACTTACCTTGCAAATAATTTATTGTGTTCATTGTGTTCACTGACTTACCACTGCAACTGCTGTTGCTGCTTCTTTCACAGCAATCACTACAACAGAAGCTCCTGACAAAGCCTCTGTTGCGGCTATGGCTGCTGCTGTTACCCCTACTGTTTCCTATGCTGCTGTCTGTGCTGCTGCGGCTGCAGTGGCTGGTTGCATTGTTTGCTGGGTTCGGATGTTCTGTCTATAATGAAATACCAAGTTGACAATGAATTAAACAACAATAAATTAGCGAGCAAGTGACTGATTGACTGACTGAGTTACTGAC